CCTCAAACTGCTATCTGTGCACCTATTCAAATGGCTACAGAAAGGGGTAAGAGATAAATAACTTATATAGCCTTGTGCCAGCCTCAATCTCTAGGCTATGCGAGTATGAGATGCAGCAATAGGCCTGAAATGTAGTTGAGAAAGGAAACATGACAAAAGTTGTTCTCTTTGCTTTTCAGTACAGGGACTGGGGTGCTCGCTCCCATTAAGATTCAGGTGCTTAAAGAGTAGTCAGCTGTCTTGGTTTTGGCCTTGGGTGGCTGTAAGGCAGGTGTTTAGAATATCACAGCCTCCGGCAGGAAATAATAGCCCAATCTATGAAGATAGATATATGATTCAGCCTGGCTCCAACTGTTCCATATTGGGAGCCTCAGGCTCAAGTCAGTCATTAACACTCTGCACCCTACTCCTACACCTGTATCCTGTATGCAAACTCTCTGTACTCCTTATCTACTACAGCGCTGGGTCTCCAAAGTCCCAGATGTGGGTATGTCCCCCTGAGTCAACAACTGTAGGGGAGCTCCATTCAGCTGAGTTATACTGCCATCATGGCAAACAAATTCAGTTACAGTTTTTTCTACATTCTGGATTACTGCTCTTGTTTCTTTTTGGTTTGTTTATTTCTTTGGGGGAGGGCTGACTGCTTTATTGCATTTTAGTTATGCATATGTGAAGATGAGTACCCCCAGTATTGTCTCTCTGCTACCATTTTGCTGGACTCTTTAAAATTATAAAAGCTACAGGTACTTTTTAAAAAATAATGATGTGATTAAGATCTTAAGATGATATCTGGGAGAAGAATTACCAAGAGGGCCCTACATCCAATGACAAATGTCCTCACAAAAGATCTACAAAAGGAAGAAAGGAGAGGAAGGTCATGTGGCACAGAAGCAATGACTGCAGGTAAGCACTGACCAGAGCCACCAGAAGCTAGAAGCACTTTCTCCTCTAGGGCATTTAGAGGGAGGTTTGTGGACCTCAAAACTGTGACAGAATAAACTTCTGTTCTTTTAAATCACTAAGTTTGTGGTAATTTCTTAGAATAGCCCTAGGAAATGAATACACTTGACTTCTCTATTACTTTGCATGGACCTAGGCTAGTTTTGTCTACATACCTATCATTTACAACCAGGGAATCCAAAGTTACACAGATAAAACAACACTCCAGGAAGTCAGAACAAATGCCAAATAGCATATACCTCACAGCCAAACATATTTTGGATATCAGCTACGACTATTATTTGTGCCACTGTCTCTATTAGCAAGGATAATGAGGCATGGACTCTATGGAGACTAAACATGCTGGCAAATGGCCTGAAGCTATATAAAAGAAATGCAATATCTTTTTTTTCTTTTTAACCACTAGGTTGTATTTTGCTACTACTAACCTGCAACATTCTATCTTGTAAATACTATAATTTTAACACAGATAGGGTTCATCCTGTATAACTGCTAAAGCAATTCTACTGTCTTTAGCTGAACTTTTCAAAAAAGAAAATGTATGATAGTATGAAAAGGAACTTATTAATTTTATTATTACAATAAAAGATGACTTCAGGGCCCTCCCTGGTGGCGCAGCGGGTTAAAGCACTGCACTAAGAAACCAAAGCCACTTCCGCATGAGTTCGATCCCCGCCTGCCCCAGAGGTGACCACATGGTGCGGCAGACCTCTCCTGACCCGCCCGCTGCTCCCCTCAGCAGTGTACTTCGTCGATCTGCCTGTTCTGCTTCCCGCTCTGTCTCTGGTGAATCCTCTCACCCTCCGCATCTCTGGCCTGTACCCCAGTTCTGTACGAATAAATATAATAAATCTTTAAAAAAAAAAAAAAGATGACTTCAAATTTTTGATCTTTTGATCTGAAGAGGCTGTCAAATCCTGTTTTGTGGACCTGAGCAATATGACCAGAGCTGTTCTGGAAGAATAACCTTGTGGTGCTACACACATATACATCATTTACACAGTATCATTTTTTTCAAAGACTCCTACCAAGGTCAGAAGAGGTATTTCTTTTTTCTCATTAAACTTTATTTTAATGAATCTCAAAATGTGACAAATTTCTGGTCATTGTTTCCATTTAAAAGTACTGATTTTAAAAATTAATAATCTAAAACTACCACACATAAAAAACACAAGTGGTTCATAAAACATTCCCCTTTCTAAAAGTCTGATGATGCATTACTATCATTAACTAGTCTTTTACTATTAAACTTAAAGGATCAGGAACTCCCTACTGGTGCAATGGTTTAGGATGCAGCACTGCAAACTAGCTGTAGCCGCTTCAGTGTGAGTTTGATACCTGGCCGGAAGTGACCCACATGGTGCAGCAGACCTCTCCTGTCTCATCTGCTGCTCCCCTCAGCAGAGTACTTTGTTGATTTACCTGTTCTGCTCTCCACTCTGTCTCTGGTGAAGCCTTTCACTGCCCCGCACCTCTGGCCTATACCCCAGTTCTGTATGCATAAATAAATCAATCTTAAAAAAAAAAACCTTAAAGGTCCAATTGAGACAAACAGTTCTGAGACATTCTTCCACCATTTTAAAAACTTGGGTGTCAGGTATTGAAGCTAACATTCATTCAGCCTTACGAGCCTCCTGGGCAGACTTGTGACCATGCCAGCTCCAGCTGCCTTCTTTATCCACTGCTTTGATGACACAGCCAAGTGACTATCTCATGTCATGAATAGCAAAACAATCCAGAAAAGGGTAGTCAGAGAAGTTCGATACAAACATGGGCTTCCCAGGAACCATATCACCTGTGGCAGCATCACCAGATTTTAAGGAATTGGGGCCATCTCCTAATTTTTTCCTGGAATGATGATCAACTTCCTTCAGCTCAGCAAACTTATAAGCACTATGAGTGGTATAACAATCTAGCACTGGTGCATATTCAGCAATGATTTGGCATGGATGATTCAAAATAATCTGAGCTAGTGGCTTCCACTGTTGTAAGCAAGTCACACTGTCATGATGAACATCTTTAATGTACATGCTTGACACTGTAGCCCACCCTGCCCCCAGCAGATCTTTCTGACAACTTCATAGTCTTTACTTCATTTGTAGTGTTTATTGCGCAAAGGTGAACATCAGATCTCAACTTGGTACACAGGGACAGTCCCAACATCACCAATTTTGCAGACATTGGGAGAGGCATTGCAAGGCCTTGTCAGCTGGATAAGTGCATGGTAGGATTCAGTCCAGGGCTTCAAGCAGCATGGGCCCAGTGGCACTGCCATCTTTGTAGGTGACTTTCCATCCATTGTACCAAGTGCTTGGCTCCATCATGTTGCTACCATTCCAATCAGAAACTGAGACAAATGCTACTGTGTCCATATTATAGCCAATTTGCTTAACATTGGTACTGACTTCTTAACAATTTCTGTATCCTTTCTGGCTGTAGGGTAATTCAGTGGACTCCATTTTGTGACCACCCACAATTAGTTTTTTCACACTCAGTGTGTAAGGCTAAAGGCATGCACCTGCATCTGCCTATTCTTAGACTGATGTTAAAGTTACTATGTATTTTATTCTTTGGTGAGAAGAAATGATTTGGTTTATTTCTTAAAGTTTTTTTTTTAAAGATTTCTTTTTGCATACAGAACTGGGGGTACAGGCCAGAGGTGCAGGGGTGGTGAGAGGATTCACCAGAGACAGAGTGGGGAGCAGAACGGGCTGACTGACAAA